GCGCTCCTGGCCGAGCAAAAGCATGAGCAAAACCCCACAGGTGAGAAACAGCGAGGTGCGATTGATTATAAGCCGTTCTCAGGGGAGCGGTGCAGGGGTGGGGTGGAAGGGGCAGCTCCATCCTGCCAGGAAGGAGGACAACCCCAGGGTTTTCGCCCAGGGCAGTACCGGTGGGTTTCTGAGACTGCCCAGCTGCTGGGTGGAGGACGGACTGGGGGTGGGCAAGAGTGAAGCGGGAAACCCACCAGGAAGGCAAACAGGAGGGCCCTAAAGAAAGGGGCAGATGGGGGACTTACTCAGGATAGAGACTTGCTCACGGGACTCTGACTTCCGGGCACTCCAATCTGGGCCAACTCTGGGGGATTGAGGGGCCATTTCTGCGTACAGGCGATGGGAGGAACAGGTTGGGAGGGGGAGGAGGAGGCCGAGGGTCTGGGCATCCCAGGGGTCTTTGAGTCTATAGAGGGAGGGTGCAGCACTTGGAGGCAGAGACTTGGGAGCCACTCATTCCAAAAGTAGGTGGATCTGGCAGGGAGCGTTTATGAAGAGAAGAGCTAGGCCAGGACAAGAGATATTTAAGGGATCAGGAGGAGAGAGTGACAGAGCAGAAGAGAATGGGGGAGCACCAGAGGCCAGGACCTCGAGAGCCAGGGGTGGAAGAATTTCCAAAAAGAGAGCGTGGATATTGGGAGGGGGTGGGAAGAGCAGAGGCAGGGAGGGCGTGGTAAGGTGATGACTGGGGGGCGGGGGTCGCCATGGAAGAAGTGGATTTTATTTTATTTTTTTGAAAGATTTTATTTATTTATTTGAGAGAGAGAATGAGATAGAGAGAGCGTGAGGGGGGGGAGGGTCAGAGGGAGAAGCAGACTCCCCGCTGAGCAGGGAGCCCGATGCGGGACTCGATCCCGGGACTCCAGGATCATGACCTGAGCCGAAGGCAGTTGCCCAACCAACTGAGCCACCCAGGCGCCCCAAGAAGTGGATTTTAAACCAGGTCACAGAGTGGATCACAGAGCCGGAGGGGGCAGGCCTGGGAGTGGGGCCAGACTGCCGGGGTCTGGGGCCAAGAGACGGACAGGAATGGGGGTGACTCAAACTTCAGCCTTTCAAGTGTGCTCAGGAATGGACTCTCCTCCCCAGTCTCACCAACAGGCAAGTCTCTTGCCTCTATCCCTACACCCTCGTATCCTCATCGGTAAAACGGAATAATAGGAAAACGGCTGCCATTTATTGAGCGCTCACTATGTGGCAAGCCAAGGACACTCCCTCCCCACGTACTTCCTCATCTAATCCTCACAACACTCTCACCAGGCTGATGTTAATATTATCCCCAGTTTACAGATGAGAAAACCGAGGCCCAGAGAGGTTAAGTCACTTGGCTCAAGGTCACAAGCGAACGAATGGAGATGCTGGTATTCAAACCCAGAGCCTGTTGTCTGGGCTTTAACACTGTACTACTAACCCACAGAAGGCACTCTGCAGTTTACAGAGCACTCCCATCACCTCCTGTGGTGGCTGAGGGGACTAGTGAGGGGACCTCCACACCCAGAAAATGCTGAGATTATTACCACATGTAGTAGGCTGAATGATGGCCCTCTGAAAAGGCCCACGACCTAATCCCCGGAACCTGTGAATGTTGCTTTACATGGCAAATGAGATTTTGCAGGTGTGATTACGTTAAGGGTCTTGAGAAGAGTCTCCTGCATCATCCAGGTGGGCCCAATGCAGTCCCAGGGTCCTTAGAAGAGGGAGGCAGGGGAGGCAGAGACAGAGATGTGATGATGGAAGAAGAGACAGAGATTGGAAGAAGCCATGACGAAGACGTGGAGGGGAGGGGAGTGGTGGGGAAGGGAGGGAGAGGGGCCCAAGTCAAGGAATGTGGGTGGTGTGCAGAAGCTGGGAAAGGCTGGGAAACAGATACTCCCCTAGAGCCTCTTGGAGGAACCAGCCCTGCTGATACCTTGCCTTTAGCCCAGTGAGACTAATTTTGGACCTCTGGTCTCCAGAATGGTAAGATAATGAATTTGTGTTTAAGTGACTAAGTACATGTGTGGTAATTTGTTGCAGCAGCAAGAAGAAATGAATATACCATGTCACTCTGCATCTGGCTCCCCTGGCCGGCTCTGGCTCAACTATTACAACCTTAGCTTCTATCAGGAAACAGCCCTACATTTTAAAATAGTTCTTTAAAGTTCCAGTTTGGTCCCTCTGAACCTTTTAGCCTTTGTTAAAAATAAAAACAGGGCTAATACACCTAACTCTACCACTTTGCCAGGCACAGAGTGCAGGTACCTTACATTATTTGAAGGTTCCCAAAACCACTAGGGCAGATGAGCCCTAGTTATTGTCCGCATTGCTCAGATGCACAAACCAAGGCTCAGAGAGGGTAAATGGCATGCATAGAGCCACATACCTAGTGAGTAACAGAGCCAGGATTTGAACCAGGACTTCTGACTTCAGATCTACCACACTGAGGTTCCTATCTCACATTCTGCCTCCTCAGAGAAGCCTTCCTGGATAGCCTCAGCACATTCATTTACTCATTCATTCACCAAACAGTTGCTATGACTGCTCTATGCCCAATGTGATGCTAGATAAGGCTAGGGACTAAGATCGGCCCTCAGGAGCTCAAAACCTAGTGGACAAGACAGACACAAATGAGCCATCCCAAACAGCCTGATAAATGCCAAGACAAAGAGGAGGAGACACAGCAGGTGATGGAAGCCCAAAAGAAGGGAAACTGATTGAGCCAGGGGTCAGGGAAGACTTCCTGGAGGAGGTGGTGATTGAGGGGAAGACAAGAAAGACTCGGCCAGAAGTGTGGGCAGGGGTTCCAGTGGAGGAATGGCTAAGCAGAGGCAGGGGGTACAATGTTGTAGCTTCTTGAGGGCAAGGAACGGGTTAGGTCAGACCCCAAAGTCCCTCCGAGCCTCTATGTTCCTGTGTACGAACGGGAATCAAATGGGCAGCTGCCCAGAGCTTGGGTAACTGCTGGGCCCAGGGGAGGGCTGAACAGGAAGAAGAGGGGTCCTGGGATTCCCAGAGGAGGGCTGAAGGTCAGGAAGGGTCAAAGGTAAGGGGACAGGGCAGGGTGAAGGGAGTTTGGGGAGGCAGGGTCCTGGCTCAAGCTCCCATTCTATGTCTGACTCCTGGTATGACTATAGGAAGGTCCCCTTAGAGCCTCAGTGACTCCATCTGAGAAATGGAGCATGAGACAAAACTGTCTCCAAAGACCCTCCCCAGCCCTGAGGGGAAATGACATGACACAAAATTACAAAAGGGTCTTTATTTGTAAAAAGCCAAAGGGGCCCTTGGGGCGACAGGACAGGCAGGCCAGCTTCTCAGGGGTCAGGGGCATTTGGGCAGATGCGCTTGAGTGGGGGGGCGCCCTCCGAGTCCTCTGTGTCACCCTGGGCTGCCTCGGGGACAGGTGGCACTGGCTCAAAGACGGGGTAAGCTTCAGGGGCCTGGAGAGGAAGGGCGGACAGGCATGAGCTCCACCCAAACCCAGGAGTGCAGCCTCCTAGCCTCTGCCTTCTCAACGCCTCCACTCCACTCCCCTCCTGGACCTAGGAGTCTGGTCAGGGGCCCAGGAAGCAGATTAAGTAGGGCACTAGAAACAACAACAACAACACCGTTTTGGGAAAAGAAGGTGATACTTGATATTTCTGGAAAATGCATCAAGGTAGTCCTTGTGGGAAAAGTCAGAAGTTGTAGGGGACTGACTCTCTTAAGCTGATTTGATAGTTTAGGACTAAAATAAAATAAAATACTTGGAGGAGCACCACGATCTTTTCAGGCTTTTAATGGTCTTAAATCCGCCCCGATCCAGCCCACAGGACTTTGTCTTAAAGCACCCTTTCCTTTTCCGTCCCAAGAACCTAGCCTCTGAGACTTGAGCTGTGCCTGAGGTCTACATTTCCTGCCTGGACCTCAGGAGGGCAGCCCCCTAGCTGTTAGCTGCCCCAGAGCCCCCACTGCCTCAGAGACCCGGGAGTCCAGCCTTCTGGCCTCTCTCACCTCAGCCTCCAGCAATTCTGGAACAGGCTCCTCCTTGGTCAGCATTGGGGGTTCATCGGTGCTGCCTGCAGTTACGCCCCCAGGATCTGGAACATCAAGTTAACAGACATTCCCTGAGCGACTGCTCTGTGCTACAGCACAGGCCCAGGCTGGGGGACACTGAGGAGGGAGCTGGGAACCTGGCTGCAAGCCAGGAAGAAGCCACAGGAAGGACATGGAAGTGGGATCTTGACAGGTGAGTAGGATCTGATCAGGGAGACAAATGGGGCACATTTTAGGCAGACAGAACATATGTTTAGTGAGTCCAGATTCTGAGACTGGACTCCCTGGGTTCAAACCTGACCTTGGGCATGTGACTTACTTCCTCTGGGCCTCAGCTAACCCATCTGTAAAGTGGGGATAATGATAAATAATTACCACACGAGAGTGTGGTGAGGATGAAATGAGATGATACAGGTAAAGCCCTTAGTACAGTGTTTGGCACATAGTAAGTGCTCAATAAATGCCTGCAGTTTTTACATTAGTAAAGGTACACAAGTGGGTGGCACAATCTAGACACAGCCCATAGGCCCAGGTCATGGTATTCTTGGAAAGGAACAATGAGACCAGCAGGGGTAGTTCACAAAGGGTCCAAAGTACCAAGTGGAGGAGTCAAAGGCCATAGGGAGCCATTGAAGGCTTTGAAGCACAAAAATGAGCCTGCCAAATTTGTGCTTTAGAAAAAATTGCTCTGGCAGCTGTGTCGAGGTGACCGGGGGAGAGGAAACCCATAAGGAGGCTGGTGCCTGGGTGGCTCAGTCGTTAAGCATCTGCCTTTAGCTCAGGTCATGATCCTGGGGTCCTGGGATTAAGCCCCGCATCGGGCTCCCTGCTCCACGGGAAGCCTGCTTCTCCCTCTCCCACTCCCCCTGCTTGTGTTCCCTCTCTCGCTGTGTCTCTCTCTGTCAAATAAATAAAATCTTAAAAAAAAAAAAAGGAGGCTGGAGCCAGGTGGGGGGAAGAGATGGCTCTTATAGGAAGGTAGACACATTTGGGAGGTAGTTCTGACCGGGCAGGGGATTGACTATATGGAACAAAGAGGAGCTGAGGAGGAATTATGCCCAAGATGCTGGCTCACTGGCTATGTGAGCTTGGGAGACTTAATTCTCTGGGTTTCAGCTTCTCATCCACATATGAGGATCATAACCCTCATAGGGTTATAGTGAGCATTAAATGAGCTAAAACATGTTCGGTGCTTAGGATATCCGGCACACAGAGCTCAATAAGTCTTAGCTGTTATTTTCACTTATTAATCACCCTCAGGAATATCACTATTATTTACTCCTCAACAAATATTTATTGAGCACATTCTATGTGTCCCATGTTGTTCTGAGGATTCAGTAATGAACAAGAGCAACATGGGCCCAAGGTTCAGGAAGCTGACATGAGGTGGGAGTGGGGGAAGAAATTTGAGTAGTAAAAAATAAAATTTACATGAAAATCTCAGACGGTGATGAGTTATCTAAAGACCCAAAGAAGCCAGATGAATGAGACAGACAGTCACTGGAGGTAGGACGGTGACTTTCTGCAGGAGTCAGGGAAGGCCTCTGGGAGGGGAGAACACAGGAGAGTAGGTGTAGGTAGGGGTAAGCTGGTGGCTTCAACTTTGCAGAAGACTCAGACGAGAGGGCTGCAGGGAGTCACCTAGTCCTACCTCTCTCTTGGCCCAGCCGTGGGGGCTGAGCATCCTCTGGGACCCCTTCTGGTGGTCCAGCAGGTGACACAGGGCGGCTGGGCTGGGGGGTGCCCCCAGGGCTGGGCTCGGTGCCCTTTTGCAGAGAGCCTTCCGAATGGAAACTCTGGTTACTGTTCTCATCTGTGGGAGCAAAAGCCAAGAAGTTTGGGCCTGAAGGTCTCAATCCCCTCCTTCAATCCCCCAGCCCACACCGCCCCCCGAAATCCCAGGATTCCTACATACCATTGAGATCCAGCAGGATGAGAGGGCCACCCCCTCGGGGACTGGCGCCCCTGCCCCGCCGTTCCCGACCTCGGGATCTCTCTGCCCCGCCACCTGCCCTTCGTCGCTCCTGGGGGTTAGAGGGATAAGGGTCAGTGACAGTTTTCCAGTTAGTACTTGCAAAGCCCCGACTGTACAAATAAGGAAACTGAGGCACAGAGAAGCAAAAGGCCCTGCATGAGGTGACAGAGGTTGGCACCACACCGTTGGGTTAGGTCTTGAACTCCGGGGTCTGAAGCAAGAAAAAGGGAGAAGGGGGTGGAGTTGCTAATAATTGTTAACATCTGTCTCTGCTGCTGCATTTGAGGTCTCACAGTGGGACTGGAGGTGGAGGCCAGCGTTGGGAGGGGCTCGCCTGAGGTCGCACAGATGAAAGGCCTAGTGTGGGAGAGTTTGCTCACCTCCTCCTGGGGGTCCACCACTGGCACCCACTTGAAGATACGAAGGGAAGTGTCGCCCACAGTCACCCAGCGCTTCTCCCTGTGGGAGGGTGGGGGGGACCGGGTCAGAGTTCTGAGGAGAGAACCCCCCCAGGTGCTGAACACATCAGGGGAGACCTGTCGAAGTGGGGGTGGTGCGGTTTTGTTAATGGGGCATATAGTTAGAAGGAGAAAGAGAGTCCTGCAGACCCCAGGCCATACACAGGGGTGCCTCTGGGGAGTGAGTACGGCTTGGGGCCATGGCTCTGCAGACCCCTGGGGTATACAAGGGAGCAAGGCTGAGGGCCTGGCAGGGAACCATAGCAAAGAAGATCCTGGGCATACTTGAAGGAAGAGTGTCAAAGCTTTAGGGGGCGGGGCATAAATGAGGGTACGGCTTGGGAACACGCTTTGTAGACCCTAGGGTGTAACCAGAACGGGGACAGAGCCCTGCAGCTCCAGAGCGCAGCTGGGGGGCACACCTAACACCTGGGGGCCACGGCTGGCGGAGGGAGGATAGACGCATTTGGGAGAGTGTGGTCCCGCCAGGTCCCATCCCTGGCCCCCCGGGCAGCGCTCACCATCTCCGGACCTTCTCGATGGTCGCCATCACCTTCTTGATGTCATCCTTGGCCCGGCTCCGGGTCTCGGCCCGCACGGTCCGGCCGGCCATGCTGGCGGGACTGGGGCCGAGGCCGAGCCCGCGGCTGGGCCGCCTCCTGTCCGGCGGGCTCAGGCTCGGCGCCAGAGCCGGGCGCCGCTGTCTCTGCCTGCTGTCCCTCCGGGAGTTGGCCGCGCCCTCCCTCGCTCCCCAACGCCTCCGCGAGTCCCCGCCCCGTTTCCTGCTGCCGCGCCCCGCCCCGGCCCGTCCCCGGAGCGGCCCGGCGGCGCGGGCGGCCAGAGCCCTTGCCTGGAAGCCGGCCAGCCCCGCCCCGACCGGGCCCGCCCCCTCGGGGCGCCCCGACCGCAGCGCCCCCTACCCGCCGCCAAGAGGGAGGGTTGGGGACAGCTTGGCGCCAGGACTCGCGCGGCTGGGCTGAGGAGGTGCGTTCAGACCACGTGGGCACGGGGAGGGGGAGGGGGGCGCGAGAGGGTCACTGTCCTGGCCAGCGTCCTCTGCGCGGGGGCGGGGGGCGGCCCCGAATGCTGTGTGCAGGGTGTGTGTCCAGCCTCGCCTGGCTGTCACTCCCGCCCTGTCCAGGTCTTCCTCCAGCCATTCATTCAGCGGTCTATTCACTGAGTGCCCATGACGGGCCAGACGCTGCAAATATGAGTAAGTCTCCACCCACCAGAATGGCTAAAATGAGAACGACAGACCATATCAAGTGTAGACAAAGAAGTGGAGCAACTAGACCTCTCATGTTTCTGGGGGAGTGGAAATGGGTAGAGACGCTTTGGAAAACTGGCAGTTTTCTAGAGAAGCTGAACTCACACGATCCAGCAATTCCACTCGTAGGTCATTAACACCCAACAGAAATGCGTGGGTATGAGCACCAAGAGATGTGTACAGGAATGTTCATAGCACTGTCGATAGTGGCCTCAAATTGGAAACGGCCCATCAAGAGCAGAGTGGAAATGAATTGTAGCCTGTTCATACAGTGCACAGAGCAGAGAGTGATGTCCTGCTACACCCCACAACAGGGACATGTCTCACGAAAGAAATCAGATACATCAGTACACACTGTATGATTCCTGTTATATGAAGTTCAAAAGAGACAAAACTAATTTGTGGTGTGAGAAGTCAGGATAGTGGTCACCCTTGGGAGAGGCTAAAAGGGAGCCCCTGGACTGCTCGTGTTCAGTTTCTTAATCTGGTAATCTGGTGCTGGTCTCCCCCCCCCCAGTATATTTACTTTGAATATTCATCAAATTGCACACTTTTCCCTATGTATATTATACTTCAATTAAAAGTTTACGTAAAATGAGTGTGTTTTGGTTGAGTTTATTTGAATCTGTGTTTGCCGGCAGATAGGACATGTGTTACTATGTGTGTGTGTTTCAAGGGTTTGGCTCTTGTCCCTGTGATTTGGTATGATTATGTCCAGTCGGGTTAAGGTATAGGAGGGGGATTATGAACGAATTTCTGGAGCCAAACTGCCCCTGGGAAAATCCCAGCTCTTCTTGTCCAGTGACCTTGGACAACTCACTTATCTCTATTCCCTCAACCATAACATGAAAGTAAGTTAATATGTAACTCCTGAAACAATGCCTTGCACATAGTAAATGCCCAATAAATATTCACCGTTAATTAAATGTGTGATTGTGGCCCCTACCAACAGTCTGGCTCCAACCGCACCTCCTATGCTCTCTTACAGTTAATACCTTCCTTTATTCTGGCAGTTGTCTGCTCATGGTAATACCCTCACGGAAGGAACACAGGCCTCCTTCCCAGTCCCTTCACTCACAAACCCCATTACCTGCTGTTGGTTATGGTCGCCTCCATCAAGACTGTGAGCTCCTCAAGGGGCCAGAGACCAAGTATGGATCGTCCCTGGGTCCCAGAGCCCAGGACAAGTAGGTGCTTGGGAATCACTTATGCGTATAAGTGCGTGCAGACCTTTCATCGTTTATCTGAACCAGGTCAGTGGGGTTGACATGTCGGTATGACACCCTGTACCTGACTCTGAAGCTTGTTCCCAGGTGAGAATGAAGGTCTACATGCAGTAAATCAGAGGGATTCTCGGACTGGGTCTGGTAAGGTGAAGGGAGCTGCTGTTATCTATTCCCAGTCTAGTAGGTGTGCCGAGAGAGGGCGAGCAGAAAGTATCTAAGATAGGCCTGGAGGTATTTGTCTGGGCAGGTGTGGCCCAAGCCTGAGGGCCCTCGCGAGGCCTCTCTGGCTCCCAGCTTCCCCCTTCCCCCCCAGACAGGAGGGAGGACCAGCACATTCCTGTCTTGCCCGCTCCACCCTCTCTTATCCACCGCGCCCCGCTCCCAGCTTTCTCCGAAAAGAATCTCGCTCACTAAGCCTCGCCCCAGGTCAGAGCCTGAGCCTCCTCCTCCCGGTGGTACCAGGGCTGCTACCCAGGCCCTGGCGCACTCAACCTCAAGGTTTTGAGCCCACCACGCAGACAACCTGCCAACCCTCCTCAGGCCCCTTTCCTGACTGGGCAGCGCAAGTAAGGAGCTGAGCTCAGAGCCAAGGAATCCAGCCTGGGGCGGGTGGTGGAGGGGGGGGGATTGTTTGGGGTCTGAGCCCTGATTGGCTGCGCCCGGGCCACGCCCCTACCCCTTTCCCCCCCCTTCTCCCCCCCCTCGGAAGGGGGGCGTGTAGGCAACCGGGATCAGCCAGGGGCCAGCATGAGCCGGAGGGAGGGAAGTCTGGGTAAGGGGCTGAAGGGCTGGATGTCGAATGCCCGAGGGGAGCAGGGGTCAGAAGGGCTGGAAGCTGGGGTCTGGGTCCCCACCCCCCCCCGGGTCCGGGAAGGGAGCGGCCTGAGCTGGGGAGAGCAGGGCCCTGGTGTCAGGTAACGAGCGGGTGAGCTGTGGGTGAGCTGTGGGAAGGGACAAGCGCCAGAGTTTAGCGGAGGCCTGGGCTGTGACTTCAGGGATCTGGGCTCAGGGTTTAGATCACAGGTTCGAGTACACCCTGGGAGAGAGGACTGGGGTCGCAGCTGGGGCTGGACGCCTGAATCCTCTGAGTATTGGGAAAGAATCAGAACTGGGGACCAGAGGGAGGGATAGAGTTAGGGAAGGAAGTCTTTGGGCCTCAGGAGCTAATGAGTGACAACAGGAGACGAAAGTCGAGGCTGTTAAGGATAGAGACAAGCGGTGGGAAACTCTGGCGCGGGGAGGGGGGGCGGGGCGGGAGTTGCCGCGCCAGGACTACATTCCCCAGCATGCCTTGGCATGCGCGCTGGCATCTCGGGAAATGTAGTCGTCCTTCAGGGGCTCCACCCCCTAGTTTGCGCTAGGAAAGGTTAGTCATTGATGCAGCAGGTGTCCAGTCCAGCGTCTTGCACAGACTGTCCATCAGTTTCCCAATCTGTAGAATAGGTTTAAAGGAGCATTCCGTTTTGAAGTTCTGTGCTTCGGTGATGTTAAATTTCACCAACAATCAGTGATGTACGGGGATATGTGAAATCTTCCCTCAAAGGGTTCCCAGGCTAAGGCCGATTCACACAGATAAAAGAGCTGTTAAAAAAACAACCCTGGGAGTATGAACAAATGGCCTTAAGTAAAAGGAAAAGGTTAATTTAAGGGAGAGGAGAATCCGGAGGCCACACCGAGGAGGCAATATTTGAATTTGGCTTTAAATAGGATTTAACAGTGATTTGGGGTCAGGGAATACATTTCAGATGGGACAACTGTTTGGCAAATGTCCGGTGCCTCGTTTACCATCAGTTGGAATGGGACAGAGGCTGCCCGGCTTAAAAGTTAGAGAATTCAGAGCAGAACTTGTGGATTCAGGAAGGAAGAGCCAGCCTGGAAGAAGTAGTCAAGGAGCAGCGGTCTGGGCTGCCCTCATTCTCCCCCTTTTTCCCACCAGAAGATCCACAGGCTGACTTCTCAATCTCACCCCTTCCCCACTTGGAGGCCAAGATCCGTCAGACACACAGCCTTGCCCGCCTCCTCACCAAATATGCTGAGCAGCTGCTCCAGGAATATGTGAGTGGGAATGGGGATGGGGGTGCCAGAGGCCTGAGGAATGGGGAAGTACAGATCACAGAGGTTCCTGACCACCCATTTTTTCCAACCTCATTTCCCAGATACAGAAATTGGAGCAAACCGGAGGACTCTCCCTGTGCTCCAAATGCCCCTCTGTCTGCCTCAGCTTGGAGGTTCCCCCCGACAGTGCATTAAGACAGAGGCTGAGGGGCGCCTGGGTGGCTCAGTCGTTAAGCGTCTGCCTTCGGCTTGGGTCGTGATCCCAGCATCCTGGAATCGAGCCCCGCATCGGGCTCCCTGCTCAGTGGGGAGCCTGCTTCTCCCTCTCCCAGCCCCCCTGTTTGTGTTCCCTCTCTTGCTGTCTCTCTGTCAAATAAATAAATAAAATCTTAAAAAAAAAAAAAAAAAGACAGAGGCTGAGAGAGTGAAAAGAATTCTGATCTGGGAGTCAGGAAACCTAGGTTCCAGGCTCTCTGTGATCTTGTCACCTCACTTCCATGGGCCTTGGTCTCCCCAGCTATAAAAGGAGACAGTTTAACAAGATGAGTTGTGGACTCTTCTACCTATGCTATGCAGAGAGACCGAAAAGGGTTTCAGTCTGGGGCAAAAATTCCAGCCCAAGAGGGGACTTTAACAGAGGAGGGGAATCTGCGAATATCTTTGGTTGGGCATAGGGCCTTGCCCAAGGAAGGAGGGTATTTCTATCAATTATGCTAGTGTAATGGAAGGAGGGTATAGGCCTGCTAACTTGCTGTGACCTTGGGCACTAATGGTAATATGAAAAAATAATGATGTAACAATTCTGAAAGTGGGGTAATAGAAAGAACTAGCTTTGTAGTACTATGAACTTCGGTTCAAAATCCAGCTCTGTCCTTTCCTAGGTGTATGACCTAGGGCAAGTCAGTTTACCTCGTCACACTCCATATCCTCATTTGTAAAAATCATCATCATAATCATCATACCCATTTGGAAAGATTAGGAATAATGTGTTTAAAGCAGCAAACAGTGCCTGAACCAGAGACAAGATGTTAGCAAAGGATAAATGGTATTGTTGTAGCATTTTTACAAATTACAAATCTCCTTTAATTTTTTCGTTCATATAAATTATTCATTGAGCCCCTGCTGTGTGCCAGACAGGTGCAGGGGTGGTGGAGGATGGGGGGAGAGAGTGAAACAGACCAGGTTTCTGCAGTATCTGTGTGATTCTCAGGCTGGGGAGCTGATCCCCCATTTTACAGATGAGAAGACTGAGACTTAGAGAAGGGAAATGGTTTTGCATGAAACTGCACAGCTAGCAAGTGGTGGAGACAGGATTGGCAACCCGGTCTGTAGGATAACATTAGTAAAATCGCTAACATTAATGTGCCCCTCCGGTGGGCCGGGATTTGCCTGAACCATTTTAACATGCTCATAACTACTCTTAGGAAGTTGATGCTGTTGTCTCCATTTTAGAGACGAGGAAACAGGCGCCGGTGTAAAGCCCACTTCGTGTGTGTGTGTGTGTGTGTGTGTGTGTTTTGTAGTATCGCAAACGCTACAGCTGTGTTGGGAGGAATGCGTCATTTGCGAGGGGGTAAACTGAGGCCCTAGAGAGAGGAGGAGGAGCGGAGAGTGGAGGAGTTCCGTCGCGCCTCGCGGGTCCCCCCCCCCCTGACTGCTGTGTCTCCGCAGGTGCAGCACCAGGGAGACCCCTTCGGGCTGCCCGGCTTCTCGCCCCCGCGGCTGCCGGTGGCCGGCCTGAGCGCCCCGGCACCGGGCCACGCGGGCCTGCCCGCCCCCGAGCGGCTGCGGCTGGACGCGGCGGCGCTCACCGCGCTGCAGCCGCTGCTCGACGTGGTGCGGCGCCACCAGGCCGAGCTGAACCCGCGCGCGCCGCGCCTGCTGCGGCGCCTGGAGGACGCGGCGCGCCAGGCCCGGGCCCTGGGCGCCGCGGTGGAGGCCGTGCTGGCCGCGCTGGGCGCCGAGACCCGCGGGCCCCCAGCCGAGCCCGCCGCCGCCGCCGCCGCCGCCGCCACCGACGCGGGCGTCTTCCCTGCCAAGGTGCTGGGGCTCCGCGTGTGCGGTCTCTACCGCGAGTGGGTGAGCCGAACCGAGGGCGACCTGGGCCAGCTGGTGCCCGGGGGCCCGGCCTGAGCGCGGGGCGCGGGCCTGCGGCTCGCTGTCATCCGCTCGGCGTCCGTCTCCGTCTGTCCGTCTCTGTCTCTCAGTCGGTGCCTCGGGAGCTCCGACCGTCTCCGTCTCTCTCCCTGCCTCTGTCGTCTCTCTGCTTTGTGTGCTCTCCGCGTCTCCCTGTCGGACCTCCGTGTGTTCGTGACTTCCCGTGTCCACGCTTTCTTGCTTTCCCTCTCTTCTCCATCGCTTGGGCCTGCCTCCGTCTCTCTTGGCCTCCCCCTTCACCCATCTCTGCGGGGCCTCTTTGTCTCCCCTTTTCTCCATCTCTTGGCTCTCCTTGGCCCCATGTGAGCATGTGTACCTCTCAGCCTCATCTCAAGGAGGGGACACCTCATCAACTCTGGCCTTCCCTGGCCAGGGAGGGGCCTGCTAGCCCGGGTGGGAGGGCTCCTCCACACAGATTGCAGCCCCCTTTCCACAGGGTCACTCCCCCTGCTGCGCTCTCCCTCCCCCATCCTGGCCCTTTGGGTGGGCCCTGCTTACTTCTCCCTTGGATGTCCTTCCCCTCCTTCATCTCCTCTGCTCTGTCCCTGCACCTCCCCTCCCCTCAAGCCAGGTCTATGGAGAGAAAAGATCAACACCTTAAAAGAGTTTATTTCTGAGAATAAATTAATTTTTTTGTAAATAAAATATTTAAAAATAAAAAGAACACCAGAGTTACCAGTATATATAGTTGTTAAAAATGGGGAGACACCTTTGAGGAGACTAGAATCCTTGGGGCACAGCCTGGTCCCCCAGACAGACCCAAAGGCCACAGTATAAATAGGGAGTCACAAATGCCCCCAGGCCCGGGATAACATCAGTCACTCTAGAACAGGAAGTGGGTGTGCCCCGAGCTGGAAACATCTACGGGAGTCCTCCTCACTTTTTTCAACTGGACTTCCATTGATCAGGAAGTGAAGTCCCTCAAGATGGAAAGGTGGAACAGTGGCCCTAGTCAGGGAGGTAGACTAGGGGAGGCAATGAACTCCAGCAAGAAGGGAGGCCTCTCTGCGCAGAAAGCCCATAGCTTCCCACAGGAAGTGAGGTAGAGACAAGAAGGCAGCCCCTGGACCTCCCCAAACTTACAGGAAGAGGAAGGTCTCAGGGAGAGCCCAGGAAAGAGACAAACTGTCCTCTCCCTGCAGAGTGGGAAGTAAAGCCTCTTCAAAAAGGCACTTCTTTCCACCCAGGATGTGGGCAACCAGGACCACTGGACTGAGACTCCACAAAATGATACCCATAGAGTCCCACCCGGATCTGGAAGGGAGGCCACAGGACCTAGGCAGGAAAGGCCCAGGCAATAGGGACTTGGGGCCTGGTTCCTAGGAAATATTCCCAAATATACACGCCCTGTCTGCTAGACAAGATGTGTCTCCTTTCTAGCCAAGAAGCAAGGCAGAAAAGAGTCCATTGGGAAGAAGTGTTGCAGCCTCTGACAGGATGTCTTGCCTCCTCTATCCAGGGTATTTGGCCTTGAGCAGAGCCAAGTCCCTCACAGCTCGGTCTGTCCAGTGGCCATATTCCCGGGTCACTACATAGCCTCGACATTTCCTCTCAAAGGCTGAGGCCCCGAAGGGAACAACGCCGAGAGTGTCCTCCTCTGGGGGGATGGGCAGGCCCAGAGCAGTCATGATTGCAGCCACGTTGCCCAGCAGGCCTTGGGCCCTGAGTCTTGCAGCCCCGAGCTGGGCCAACAGCATAGGACTGCCAGGGTTCAGGTCTCTCTGGTCGTCCCCCACGAGCTGGAGGTGCTGGGTCAAGGCCAGGAAGGCCCCCTGGGCATGGCTCAGCCGCTCCCTGTCATCCAGGGCATGCCAGGTCTTGAAGGAGACGTCGGCAGGAGGCAGGCTGCTGAGCTGAAGCTCAGGGGCTGAGAAGCCGGGGTCACTGAAGGGGCTGCCCTGGTACTGGAGCTGCATGAGAGACAGAGACAGACGAGAGTGCAGGGACTAAAGTGGTCCCCTGGGGCTCGCCCTGACTTCACATCTGACACAGAGCCTGGGCTCTGTGAGGTCGCAGTTTCATGTACAAGTTGTACAACTTTGAATCGCAGCTTCAATAATTCCCAGGCATCAGTATTCTCGTGCAAATGATAAGAAGTAATACATAGAAAGCACTTAGCGCAGCTCCTGGCATCCAATAAGGACATAATAAGCCACTGTTTATAATATCTTAATATCGTGACACTGTGATGCTATTATTTATTATACTATTTTCAGTCTAAATAATTGACAATGTAGTTAGAGTCTATATGGTTCTTTTTTATTCATAGCATTTAGTTGTTTGTGCTTATTTTATTAGAATCATTAATAAATAATTGTTAACATTATTAAATTTAGTTGAGTGCCTTCTCCGTTAAAGTTCTCGCCTCCACAAACCTAGACCCACAGAATCTTGCTGCACACTGATAAATCCCCAAATTGATAGACCTCCTAGTCCTACATCCCTATATCACAGGTGAAGAAACTGAGGCTTAGGGTGCCCAAAGCTACCCAGGGAATGGTGGCAGCTATGGGACTAGAAACTAGATTTAATAACTTCACATGGGCCTGGAATATAGTTCAGTAAGCGGAGTCACAAACCCTGGCTAGGGGCCAGGCGGATCGTGTAACTTGGGGAAGAAGGCAGAACTAAGATGGGGTAAGGGGCTAGGAGGGTCCCTGTGCCTGTTTGAGACAGGCAGCCACGTTCAAAGTTTAAACAAGTATTTCATGGCCCGAACAGAAAACATCTGTGGGTCAGATTCAGCCAGCAGGCTGCTAGTTTGAGCTTCTAGACAGTGTGGGGGGTGGGGGAGGTGCCTAATGCCACAGACCTGGCTTAAGATCCTGGCACTGCCAGTGATTGAGCTGTGTGACCTTGAGCAAATTATTTACCCTCTCTGAGACTCAGTTTCCTTATCTGGATTATAATTCCGTCCCTCAGAACTGTTTGAGGAGTCAGCGAGAGAATGGGGATGAGTGCCTAGCACAGCCTAGGGCTCAGGTGAGCACCCAGCGCGGAGTGGTTGTGGAAATAATCACGAGCCTGTAAAGTCTTTCTCTGTTCGTGCTGCCTTTGAATCTTTTTAACAGCCCTGAAAGGTGAGCAAAAGCAGGATCACGATTCCATTTTGCAGACGAGGGAGCTGACACGGAGAGAGAGAGAAGGAACGACTAGCCCAAGGTCACCAGCCATCAGTGACACTGTCTGAGTGAGTCTCTAGTTGACAGAGCCCCGGAACCTCAGACTCATGGAGGAAACTTCTCCTGGCCTTGCTCGGCTTCCCCTACCCAGGGCTGGGCCAGGAGGGCAGTGTCCCGCTGCCCTCGTCCCCTGCTCATGCCCAGTGTCACTCACATAAGTCTGCAGCAGCGTTGATGTATTCTTCTGCATGTAGAGGGCCAGGCTGTAGGCTTGACTGATGGGCTCAGCTGGGGAGATGGGGGCCCCCGGACTGAGGGGTGGCAGCAGCAGGGTCAGCAGGCAGAGCGGGGCTGGTGGAGGAAATCAAAGGTCTGCATCCAATCTGACCCTGAGCCCGCCTGCTGGTTCATTCATTCTGTGTCACAGCTCCTCAAATGGGCACAGCCCTTGTGGCCTGCAACAATTTTGTGTATCCAAGTCGGGGCAGCAGCATCCTGTAAGATTATTTCCAGCCCAGAACGTTCCCCGGAACCCCAGACCCGACGTATTCAACTTCCTGCTTGACATTATTGGATATTAGTAAGCATCTCCACTCAGAGTATCCAATACTCAACTCTGGGCTCCCCTTCCACCCTCCTCCCCCAGCCTTCCGCATCTCGGGCAACGGGGCTTCCATTCTTCCCTTTGCTCAGGTCAAAACTTGGGGTCCTCTTTGGTGCCTCATTCTCTCTTGCTCTCCACATCCACCCCCACAGTAAATCCTATCAGCTCTGTCCTTAAAAGGTAGTTAGCCCAGCTCTGCGTTTCTTGATCTGAGTGCTCGTGACCAGGATATGATCACTTTGTGAAAATTCATTGAGCTGTATGCTTCATGAGTTGTGTACTTTTCTGTTTGTTCTTTTCAATAAAAAGTTTTGAAAGTTGAAAAGATGCATCCAGAATCTACCCACTTTCCCCCTCCTTCCGTTGCCACCCCCTGCGTCCCAGCCACCAGCCCTTCTCCCTGTACTCTTAGAGCCAGTAGCCTTCCCCACCCCCGTCTCTGCTTCTACCTTTGCTGCCCTCCCCCCAACAACCCCCCAGTTCAACCAGATCCCTCCTGTGCCTGAACCCTCCCTCCGCTCAAACCTCACACAGTGGAAGTGTGTAAACCAAAGCCCTCCTGCGGCCTACAAGGCCTGGCCCCTCTGTACTGGCCTCCCATCCCATTCCCCCTCAGGCCTTCCTGGGCCCGGCCCGGGCCACCCCCAAACCTTCCCAACCCTGGCTCCTTCTTGTTCTTCAGGCCTCAACTCAGATAAGCTGTCCTGACCGCATATCAAAAGCCCCCTCCCCCTCCCTGATTTATTCTTTTTTTCTTTTTTCTTTTTTTTAAGATTTTATTTATTTGCCAGAGAGAGAGAGAGAGCGTGAGAGTACAAGCAGGGGAAGCGGCAGGCCGAGGGAGAGGGAGAAGCAGGCTCCCCGCTGAGCAGGGAGCCCGACACGGGGCTCCATCCCAGGACCCTGAGGTCACGACCTGAGCCGAAGGCAGACGCTAACTGACTGAGCCACCCAGGCGTCCCCCCCTCCCTGATTTATAGTCTTCAGAGACTTGCTATTTCATTATTTATTTATTTGTCTGCTTGTTTGTTACTGTCTCTCCCCCTAGAATCTTGTCTCCAGGAAAGAGGAAACCTCCCTTGATTCATTTGCTGCTGGTTCCCCAGCACCTAGCACAGAGCTTAATAAATATTTGTTGAATGACTGAATGCTGCCACGAACATCCTTATCCCAGACTCTTTGGGCACTTTTGAAAGTGGGAATAAGGGGCGCCTGGGTGGCTCAGGTGTTAACTTCTGCCTTCAGCTCGGGTCATGATCCCAGGGGCCCGAATCGGGCTCTCTGCTCAGTGGGAAGCCTGCTTCTCCTTCTCAGTCCCCCTGCTTGTGTTCCCTTTCTCTCTGTCTCTCTCTCTGTCAAATGAATAAATTAAAAAGAGAAAGAAAAAAAAAGAAAGGAAGGAAGAAAGAAAGAAAGAAAGAAAGAAAAGAAAGAAAGGAAGGAAAGAAGAAAGAAAAAGAAAAAGAAAGAAAAGAAAGAAAGGAAAGAGAAAGAAAGAAAGAAAAAGAAGAAAGAAAGAAAAAAGAAAGAAAGAAAGAAGAAAAAAGAAAGAAAGGGAATATCTGGATTGGAGGGTGTGCTCATTTTAAATTTGAGTAAATGCTGCGGATTGTCCCCTTACAGCTCAGGCCCAGTTACGGTCCCAGTGTGAGGCTCAGCGGGGGTGTGGGGATGTGGGGGGGAATTGCCTAAGGTCACCAGCAGGAAGCAATGGAGATGAGAGGCCAATCGGGATGGCTTCCTTTGTTCCCCTTTCTACATTCCTGAGTTCCCTAAGTTCAGAACTTAAGGGAAGGCTGAAAGTGAAAGACCATTCATTCATTCAAAAAATTGGCTCATTGCACTCACCTTATATCAAACTGGCATTATAATTTACATATTTTTTTTTAAAGATTTTATTTACGGGGCGCCTGGGTGGCTCAGTCGTTAAGTGTCTGCCTTTGGCTCAGGTCATGATCCCAGGGTCCTGGGATCGAGCCCCCGCATCGGGCTCCCTGCTCTGCAGGAAGCCTGCTTCCCCCTCTCCCACTCCCCCTGCTTGTGTTTCCTCTCTTGCTGTGTCTCTCTGTCAAATAAATAAATAAAATCTTAAAAAAAAAAAAGATTTTATTTACTGGGGGCGCCTGGGTGGCTCTGTCGTTAAACGTCTGCCTTCAGCTCAGGTTATGATCCCAGGGTCCTGGGATCGAGCCCCGCATCCGGGTTCCATGCTCGGCGGGAAGCCTGCTTCTTCCTCTCCCACCCCCCCTGCTTGTGTTCCCTCTCTCACTGTGTCTCTCTCTGTCAAATAGAGAGAGAGAGGGAGAGAGAGAGAGCACGAGAGGGAGGAGGGTCAGAGGGACAAGCAGACTCTCCGCCAAGCAGGGAGCCCCATGCGGGGCTCAATCCCAGGACCCTGAGATCATGACCTGAGCCAAAGGCGCTTAACCGACTGAGCCACCCAGGCGCCCCATAATTTACTTACTTATGACGATGATGTGTATTGTCTGTCTGCAGAATGAAATCTCCATGAGACCATAGCTTTTTGTCTGTTTGTTCGCTGCTGTATCCCCAAATGCTTAGAAAACTACCTAGCACATAATAGGCACTCAGTAATTCTTCTTGAATGAATGAATGAGTGATGAACAAAGCCTTCTGTGTGTAAGGATTTGGAGGTTCCTAGCAAGCAAAGACAGCCAGGCACCTGAGTCCTAAGGGCCAGAGAGCCCAGAGAGTACCCCTCCCCTCCTGGTCTCTAGGCCCTGGCACTCCATCCGCCCCCCCCACACTCACCTAGCGGATAGCTCATGCTCTCTCCTTGGCTCCTTCCTCTCTCCAGTCTCTGGGTTTTTCTGGGGCACCTGTCCTCCTGCCCCTCAGGTAGCTTTATACCTGGGCTGAGTGCTGAGGCCGCCCAAGAGGGAGGGAAAGTCACACCCTAGGGTAGGTGTGTGTGTGGGAGACACAGGTGCAGGAGCCCCAGAAGCAAGGGACAGGCAGGGAAGGGGACACTGAGGTGACACCCTAGTCCCCTACAGTCCCCAAACTCGACCTTAAACCCTGGTTGCTGGGAGGGAGGGGTCAAAGGCAGGAGGGGATTATCGGGGGACAAAGGGGCCGCCCTGCTCCCTGCTGCTCCGCACGTCCTGGGATCCAGTTTCTCGTGAGGAGGCGGCCTCCTGCTCCGCCCCGCTGGGACCCAGGCATTGGGCCCTGGCTTCCGCGGAGTTTGGAAAAGGGATGGGAATGGTGGCATGTGAGCAACATCACCCACGCCAAGGTACACCCTTAGACAACAGGAGCGTTCGCACGTCTACACACACACACACACACACACACACACATTGGCACACGGGCCCACACCAGACATGTGAGCACACTCACATTCATTCATTTAAATAGTATTGACACCTACTGTGTGCTGGTCCCTGTCCCAGGTGCTGGGATAGAACAAAGAACAAATCAGACAAAATTCCCTGCCCTCGGGGCACCTGGGTGTGGCTCAGTCGTTGAGCATCTGCCTTCGGCTCAGGTCATGATCCCGGGGTCCTGGGGGCTCCCTGCTCCATGGGAAGCCTGCTTCTCCCTCTCCCGCTCGCCCTGCTTGTGTTCCCTCTCTCGCTGTGTCTCTCTGTCAAATAAATAAATAAAATCTTTAAAAAAAAAAATCCCTGCCCTCGTGGAGCTGATGCTCTAGTGGACATGGCCTCCGCGTATACGGAACCACACGCACCCTGCCGGGCCTACGCATGCTACAGAAGGAGGGTGCAGACGTGTCCACGCGGAATCATGCAGACCTGTGCGCACATAGCCACACCCAGAGGCCCCAGCAGAGCCACATGCGTGGCGCAGACAGGTACATACGTGGGTGGACACACACCAGCGGCACGTGTGCGCACACAGACACAAACGCAGCTGGAGGGCAGGAGTCCTGCGATCTAACCATGTTTTAGTCTCTGCTGTCCTGGAAGATCTTGGGCCAGTGGCTGCCCTCTGCCCAGACACAGCACCGTACAGACACACAGACACATACCTAAGGCCCTTTCCAGCTGGGGAAGCCTTGCGGCCCAAGGGGGGTAGCTGAGTTCTGGTCCTTCTTCACAACGTCCCCAGTGTCTCCATAAGGGAGCATTGTCCAGTTCTCAGCCCCTGCCCACCCAATGGGTCAGAGTGCTCAGTCAGACGCCCACCCTGCTCCTATCCAGTTGGGGGATGGAAGACTGCTCTACCTTCCTCCCTCCCTGGTGTGGAGAAAAAAGGCCCACAGCCTTCCTGAAAAGGCGGGAGGTACATCCGTTCACTCCTTCACCCATGTCTACATTCAATCAGCAGATTTCGATGGGACCTCTACTGTGGGCTGGTACCAGGGTGAATAATAAGATGGGTCCGGTCCCTGTCTCACAAGGGTTGCCCAGTCCAGAGGGGAAGACCGACAACAAATGTGTGAACTGATAAAAGCAAAATTTCCTGAAGCAACAAAGTGCTGAGAAGAAGCCAAAATAGGTTGATATGATTAGCTGGGAGGCCCAGAGCTACTTACCTGGGGTCACACAGCAAGGCTAGAACAGATCCTAGACTCCCGCCTCCCAGCTTGGGACCAGGTCTGGGGTATCTCTGATCTGAACAGTGAGCTGAAGGAGGGAGAAGGTTGAAGGAAAGTTGGGCTCTGAGGTGGGGGATCCTAAATTGGATCTCCGAGGCAGAGGGCTGCCAGGGCTGCCAGAAAGGGCCTGTGCTAGGCAGCGGTGATGTCAGGGGATTAGACTAG